ATGAGCAATGTGAACGGAAGGAGTAAAAACGTACGTACAAATTACAAAGCATTTCTTCTCGCAATTATTGCTACTTTGTCGTAATTAAGTAGGCTATTGACCAATCAATCCAATTATTTGATATTTCCTTGTTTAAACTTATTTGACTTTTCATTTTAATCTGTTTCTAGAAAAATATTAGTTTTTTTTTAAAACGTTTTGATTTCAGTTTTTAAATAAGATCTAAAAATCTGTTTTGAAAAAGATTTACTTTTAGCTCTTACTACGTAGAGACACTTCTATAAAACTTTTTAAAATGGAACAAAACTCACTCCCTATTATTTTATTTTGTTATTGAGAAGTCATTTGCTTGAACAAACAAGACTAAACGAAAACTATAATCTATTTTAATTTGTTTGTCTATTGTTGATTTAACATCAAATTTGAGAAAGTAAAAAATATTTTTTATTATCGTGATTTTCAATTAAAATTTTCTTTTATTTTTATTTAAGAAGCATTACCTCTGTTTCATTGATTTCCTTTTGACAATTTTGTAAAAGAATAAAATCGCTAATTAGTCTAAGCAACATTATTTAAAATTTATAATGTTGATAATATTTATTGGTTACACTTATTTTAGATTAAAATGTTTAAATTATTTTAATTCACACCACTTAAAATTTTATAATATTATACTATTATAGGTTTTTATTTTACACTTAATTAAATAATTTATTGTCATATACATACATCTATACAACTTATTTTAGATTGAAAAATTAAAATTGTTCAATTAATAATACTTTTAAAAATAACTTCCTAAATAAATATTGAGGCTGTAAAATATTTTGCCACTAGACAACTCTATATTGGGGAATCCAATAAGAGAGGTCCCAATGGCCAATTAAAAAAAAGACGAAAACAAGTTGCAAAGGCATTATGCTATGGGCCCTGAGCATTTGTCACTTGCAGAAAAAGTTATGAGCAATCCAAATAAAATCAAGAGAAATAGGTCAAAAAAATCTTTAAACTATGTAAAAATAATAATTAATTATTTGTAGTTTAATTTTAAAATATTTTTATAATTAATATTTTAATTTAAAAGTGTGTTTGTTGTAATTTAATGAATCATAAATGCTCATATTTCGAATAAAATATATTATTATTTTCTTTTTCAATATATTTTTTTAATAATATTACAATTCAGAAAAAAATAAGAAAGTTCTTGTCTTATTATAATTATATTTGTGATGTATATACTATGATCTTATATATATATGACATATACTTACTGTCGAAAGGGTAAATAAAAATATTCTATTTTAATTGATAAAATGAGATTATGAAAAAAAAAAATTCTACATTTTTATTTGTTAAAGTAATTTTTTAAAAAAATCACATGATTAAATAAAGAATAAATTTCACTCTTACCTAGGCTATAACAATATTAATACTAGTAATAGTGCAATTTATTATTATCAGGAGTCTTATCCGAAGAATAATAATACGGGAAATTTAGAAAATTTTAAATTGCAACTGCTTGATAAAAAAATGAAAATAAAGATCTCTTTTGGTTTCAAAAATCTCTTGTGAGTCTCCTTTTCGATTATAATAGATGAAATCGACCATTTTACATAAAGAGTAATCTATTTGAGCAGGCCGTAAGAATAGAAATGTCACAATATTTTTTTTGACACATGTAAAAGTGACGGACGTTTACAGACCCACTAAGTTTATCAACTTTTTTTTTAAAATGATAAAAAGAAAGATATCCCTACTGGCACTCCAAAAAACTCCCTAATGAACTGGACACTCAGTTATTTCTACCAACAAAGAAAAAAATAATAATTTGAATAAGAAATTTTTAAATCGACTTGAAATTCTAGACAAGAAATCTCTTTTTCTAGATATACTCAAAACAAGGACTAGATTGTATGATACTAAAAAAGAATACAATATTCTTTATTAATATGTTAATTAGAAAGAAGATATGTTTAAAAATATATCTATCTGTCTATGAAGGCATTTTTAAAGCAAAGTATTGAGTGTAAGAGCATTTTTAAATCAAAGTACTGACGACCAGTGGCGGACCTAAGATTTTCGTTGAGAAGGTTCGGAAAATAAAAGTATAAACATCTAACTAAAAAAAAACTGAAACCAAAAAACGTAAAAATAATAAAACACCAACCTAGGGATTCGAACCCTAGACGTCACGCATAACTTTGAGCTCAACTACTGCTGGGCTATCTCATTAATTTGTTATTTAGGATGTTCAAAATATATATATATCAACACAAATTCAGAAAATTCACCTTAGGAATACAGTGTATTTTTTTATCGATGGTGTTCGGGTGAACACTTTGAATGCCATGTAGGTCCGCCCCTGTTGACAACAAGAATATTTTTGAACCAAACTATAAACGTTGAACATTTTTACTCCTTTCACATAATTTAAGGACATTTTTAATTGGTTGAAGTCAATACCACTCTTTTTAAAATGCATTTGAAACTTTTCTAAATTTCGAAACTTTCTTATCATGTTGTAGCTTGTTTTAGTAACTGATTTGTAATTGAATACTTATAGAGTTTAACTGCTATCCACCGACGGTGGACAAAAAAATTACACGGACATTTTATTTTTGGAAATATTTAATTTTTTAATTAATATATTTTAATATTATTAATATTAAAATAAAAATAATAACATAGTGTTATATGGTAACTTGAATTATAAATTAATTGTACAAATTTAATTAGGATTCTTATTTGTCTTACCAAAAATAAAAAATACATAATTTCTTGTGTTTTCTTAGTTGTATTAACGTTCTTCTTTTTCTACATAAACTATTGAAGCAACCAACTATCCACCATTGAAGCAATTTGAAACAATTATCATGGTAGCGTTTTCCTCGTATATCTTTTTTTACATAACTTATTAAGTCTTTTTCGCAACATGAATAAACGTTTCAAAGAAATATTCTTGTTTTAATGTATGAAGAAATTTATGTTTTGCAGTGATGAAGATATTTAAAGAATACGTTTAAGAACTTTTTAGCAAATTGAAGAAGTTCAATACATTAGCCATGAAAAATATTTAAAATTTTAAAGCTAACTTACCCTATCAGTCTAATATCTAATAATTGTGTATTGCAGGAAACTTTTGAAATCTCTAATTTAGAAGAGCAAAATGCAGAAGGAATTGAAGATTCCTTGGAGGATATAGAAAGCAACATGAATGCAGTTGTATCTTTTGTTCCTCAACTAGGTGAGCAAGAATTAAGAGAGCCTTACATCGGTATGGAATTTCAATCACTTGATACTGGATTTAAATTTTATCTTGATTATGCTCATCGTAATGGTTTTAGTGTGCGCAAAAATCGAATTAGTAGATCAAGAAAAGATAAATCCATTATTGGTCAAGAGTTTGTTTGTTCAAAAGAAGGATTTCGTTCAAAAAAATGTCTTGAGAGTAATAAGCAACGAGATGAGACTAGAGAGGGGTGCAAAGTGATGATATATATGTCAAAGAAAGAAGAAGAAAAGTGGGTTATAGCTAGGCTTGTCTTGAATCATAATCATGAACTTGCTTCTCCTAATAGTCAGAAATTCTTGCGATCAAAAAGAAAAAAATCAGAGGCTCAAAAAAATCTTATTGATCTCTTAAATAATTCTGGTATTCGTCCAAGTAAAATCGCATCAGTGTTAACTACTCAGGCGGGAGGCATAGAGAATCTCAATATAACTGGACGAGATATTCAGAATTATTTGAGCACTAAAAGGCAAAATTGTCTTGAGAAAGGAGATGCACAATTGATGTTGAAATACTTTCAAAAGCGACAATCTGATAGCCCAGGATTCTTTTATGCAATACAAATGGATGTGGAGGGTCATTTAGCTAATTGTTTTTGGGTAGATGCTAGGTCTAGGATAGCTTACAAGAATTTTGGAGATGTTGTCCTATTTGATCCTACATACTTGACAAATAAATATAAGATGCCTTTTGTTCCATTTACCGGAGTTAATAACCATCACCAATCCATTTTATTTGGATGTTCTCTTCTTTGGGATGAAACGGAAGAAACTTTTCAGTGGTTACTTCATACTTGGCAAGAGGCAATGTTTGGTATTTCCCCTCGTACAATAATCACAGATCAAGATGCTGCAATAACAAATGCAGTTGCAAAGGTGTTCCCGAATAGTGCACACCATTTTTGTATGTGGCACATTGAGAAGAAGATTCCTGAATATCTAAGTCATGTTTTTCATGCATTTGATGATTTTAAAAATAAGTTTAGTAAGTGTTTACATTGTACAACAACTCCTGAGGAATTTGAAATTGCTTGTACAATTTAGAAGAGCATATTTGGTTGCGTAAGATATACACCATTCGCGAGAAATGGATTCCAGCATATGTGCGAACTACTTTTTGTGCTGGAATGTCAACAACTCAAAGAAGTGAAAGTATGAATAAATACTTTAAAGATTATCTTAACTCTAGTACGCCAATGAGTGTATTTGTGACGCAATATGATAAAGTTGTTGACGCTAGGTATGACAAAGTAAGGGAGAAGGATTATAAGACAAAGCATTCAAAGGCTATCTTGAAAACATTATATCCAATGGAGGATGAAGCAGCCAAAATATATACCAGAAAAATATTTCAAAAATTTCAAGAAGAGTTAATTCAATCTCAAAAATTTATTTCAGAAAAAATTGAGGTTCAGGATGGGATACATATTTATAAAGTGCATTTGTTTCAGAGAGAAACACCGACATATATTGTTAGGTTGAATCTTGAATTAAAGAATGCTACTTGTTCTTGTCATAAGTTTGAGTTCATGGGAATTTTGTGTAGACATGTGCTTATGATATTTATAAAGAAACAGATTCACTCGCTTCCACCATGTTATTTATTGGATCGATGGACAAGGTATGCAACTACAGAAAAAGCTAATGACATTTCAAGTGCAGGATCGCTTGCGTATAATCTGAAGTCTTCTACTATATGGTTTAATAACATTATGACACATTCTCTTGGGCTCTCTGAACGAGCTACTCGTTCAGAAAAGCATTATAAATTTACATATCAGAAATTGTTGCAACTAAGTAAAGAACTTGATGAACTTCCATATGAGGATAATGATAATGTTTGTGATGATCAAGTTAACGGGTCAAATAATGATTTGAACTCAAGTGAACAAAGAGAAAAATTTAGTTTGCTTGACCCTCCATGCGTGGCTACTAAAGGACGTCCTCGTTCTTTGAGAATGAAAAGTGGTTTAGAAAGTTCTCAGAAGGTTAAAAGAAGCTCTTCGCTGAAATCAAAAAGAGAAACCAAAATCAGAAAAAAAGGCAAAGGAGTAAGGTAATTTTATAGTTTGATCTTTAATTTAATGTGAATTCATTGAATAAATCACATATTTCAATTATTTGCTTAATTTTCAGTTCACACATTAATGTTGAAAAGGAATTCAATAGCAGGGAAACAATCATTAATGCAGATCCTACAATGGTAAGGTTTTATTTTGATAAATTATGTGAATTTTGACTAAAACTTATTCTTATGTATCATTCTCTTTTTAGCTAACAAATTTTTCTTTTATTTAATCATTTTTAAAGGAATTCTCAGCATATTCAGAACCTTTTGAAGGGCAAAGTGGTCGTGCTGATTCATATCCAACCTCATTTATGGTGGGTTTATGTTACTGCGCTTGTATGTATTTTATTTATAGCATATATGCATTTGTAAACAATTACTGTTTCAGGATTTGATGAGAGCAACTTCGTATCCATATCAAAGAGGTTTCTAATCTACAAGGTGACTTGAAGTTTGTGGAATTTAAAACTATAAAGGATGTCTAGAGAGACAATTATTCAAAATTCATTTTGTTCTGTTTTCTTTCTTTGGCAGAATATAAATCCAGGGATATTTTTTGTTCAAGACTTTTTTTTCTTTTAAGTTTACATACAATAACTCAGAGTTTTAGCTTTAGTTTTTTTTGTTGATTGTGTTTTTATTCATAGTGAATTAGTTACTCTTTTATGCCTTCATATATGTTAGCAAGGATACTCCACTCTCTGATACATAGCAGCAGCAATAACAACGTATAGCAACAAAAAATTTTCACCGAAAGAATAAAATTTGTAACCAAGCATGCAATTGTGATTAAATCATGGGCCGTATTTAATAGTGTTTGATTTTGTTTGCTTACTCTTATAAGTTTGAATATGTTGATTTTGTTGCACTTTATGTTTCTGGAATAGTTTCATATTAATATTTTGCTAGCATTGCTTCAATGGCAACAAGTATCGGTTCTTATAAAAAAAAAAATATGTTGGCAATGATTTTCTTTGAAGGATTGAAGTGCTTTCCAATAAGAAAACACAAGAAATTATGTATTTTTTATTTTTGGTAAGACAAATAAGAATCCTAATTAAATTTGTACAATTAATTTATAATTCAAGTTACCATATAACACTCTGTTATTATTTTTATTTTAATATTAATAATATTAAAATATATTAATTAAAAAAATTAAATATTTCCAAAAATAATATGCCCGTGTAATTTTTTATCCACCGTCGGTGGATAGTAGTTAAACTCATATTTATACATGTATAACAAGGTTTTGATAAAAATATAGAATCTAATCAAAAAGTTAAATGGAATATACTAGTTAGTATACTAAGTACTTCACTCTTTTAATTTATTTATTTTGTTCGCAAAAAAAGTGTTTTTGATCTCATATTTACTATGTTTTCTAATTCTATATTATACTTGACAGTTTAAGATTATAAGATATTCTTTTGGTTTTGTATAAGTTGATTATGTTACTAGAAATATTTGTTCTATATTAGTGGTCTATCCTATCAAATCAAGAAGATATTAATTAATTTTTTCTATATTTATTATTGTAATTAATTCTTTTTAGAGTGTCTTCTTATTTATGATTTGAAAATTTGAATTTAAAAAAGAAACTGATCAATTAATATGAAACACAAGAGGACGTCTTTAATTTAAGGAAAAATTAAATATCTACACATCTTTAATTATCATATTTTTTATTATTCTCTGTCATTCCAAATATACAAAAAACACTTCTTGTTTTCCAAAAACCCACTATTCGAGATACATAACTCCCAAATACATGTCTCCCCTCTTCCTATTTTCACTCCATTAATCTCTTCCTATTTTCACACTCTCAATCTTTACTTCATCACATTTTGAAATTTCAAATTTGTTCTCTCTTTAGTCAATCAATTTCAACATTCTCAAAAGGTAATTTTTTTTCTTTTCCAACATATAGTTGATCCTTTTTTGTTCTCTTATTTTTTATCATTATTATTCATCTACAAAGTTCCGATACATATAGATAATGCTCCTTCTTTATGATCTTAAAATTAATTGTGTATAAAATGCTCCAGAAAGAAGAAAAAAGTTAAGTTGTTGGTGTTTTCGATAAGGATTTTGGGTTGTTTATTGTACATTTTTTTTCTAATACAACAAAGGAGGGGGGGGGGGGGGAGTAAAATGTGTTTCTAAGCACGCTTCTCTACCCAAGGGTCTGAATTTTAATGTACCTAGTCGATTTTGATTCATAAATTTAAGTATAGTGTCTTTGTTTCAATTTTATGATACACTACAATTTTATTATATAAAATATATCGTATTCAAATATTAGTTTTGATACATCACTCCAATTTATTAAAATACAGATATACATTATTATTACAAATTTTGTTACTTTTTATCAAGAGACATACACATATACATTGTCAATTATTATTTTTTATACATAAACACTAATAGTTTTAACAATATCAGGTTGTATCATATTCAAAGTTATGTATATGATATGTATATCAATTATTTTGTTATGTGTATATCATAATTAAGTATCACATATTTTTATGTATCTGCAACACTGTTTTATAACTAAATCAGTGTGTATCCTATACATAATTATTTTTTTTGTACATGATACGTAATTATGTCAAAATGTCGAATTGATTATGAATTAGATGTTATTATGTATCTGCAATTTTTCGAATAACATTTTAAGACATAGTTGCACCACTTGTTTAATGCATGTATATCAAATTCAACAAAATTCAAACTTTATTATATGTAGCAAATATGTATCAACTAACCACAATATCGTGTAGCAATCACACAAAAAAATTATATTTGAAAATAATTGCATGTATAATATATCTTTTATAAACTACAATATTTTTCAACTAGAATAAGATACATAAATAATAATGTACCACACACAATTTTATGAACATAATACGTAAATAGATAAAAAGCTAATACATATACATCCAACCAGTTAACCTATCAATTTTGTGTTATTTTACCTATTCCTGTTTCTTTTGCTCTGAAGAAGTAACGAGGGTTTGAATTTCATTTAGTATACGATTATATTGTCAATGTCGATGGAGGAGGAACACGTCATAGAGGTGGCTGCAGCGGATCGAAAGGAGAGGTTGAGAGCTCTCAAAAAAACTCGAATCTTCAAAGCACAGACGATTTTTTTGACAATGGTGAATCAAAATTGAAAGGATATTCGATAATCTGAGAGAAGAATTTTCAATTTTCAATTTTTTTGATAAATTTAAATCAAAATTGAAAGAATCTTCGATGAACTGGAGAAAATTTGATCTCAAAATTTTCGATAGTTTTAAATCAAAATTTGAAAGAATCTTCGATGAATTGAGAGATTTCCAAAAAAATTATTTATCAAACAACTATTCTTTCACTTTTGTATTGTTCATAACTGACCTCCTAGACTTCTGAATGTCTCTACAAAATACAGATATTATCATGTTTCAACTACTGTTTTCAAATTTATTTACTTTTGAATTTGTTAAGATTTGAAAGGACAAACTTTGAATATTGAATTGTTTTGAAATTGTTATAATTTGGGAGAGATTGATATCCAACTAGATTTTTATGTATCCAGATGACACTAACTTTAAGAGAATTTTAAAAATAAAATGTAATTCGATCGTTACAATATAAAATTTCTAAATTTCTTATATAATTTAAGGCCACTGTAAGACTCTAGCACGGTATTGGCCCCCCAAAAAAGTGATATACCACCCAATCATGATCTGGATTGGGCTAGTCTTATGGGCCAAAATTATTTTGCCGATGACAGAATAAATAGTTATTATTAATTATGGAACCATTAATTCTTATGCAGATATAATTCATGTATTATATAATATTAATTAGTATTATGTTTGATAGAATTTTTAATCTATTTATAATTAATTCAGGTATTGATCAAATTTAGGTATTAGTAATATACAAAAAATAATATTATGGAATAAATCTATGTAAGGACAAAAATCTCTCTTAAATTATTTTAGATTGTTACTAAATAAATTCAATACAAATTAATGCCGTCTTTTTAATTTTAAAAATAGATTGTTAATCTTTTTTAAATTGAGAAATAGACATTGTGTGAGTGATGTTTTCTAAGATGACAATTATTTAGCTTTAAATAATTTCAGTGAAAAAATAGCAAACATAACAATAGAATTGTTCTTCTATAATATTGTTCGATAATCATTCAACTTGACTGAATTAATTTAAGGACATAATTGAAAGATTCTCTTTTATAAAGTTTTAATGTTAACACAAGATGAGGTGGAAAACAATAAAACAAACAATTGATAAAAATAAATTTTACATTACTAATTCAAACACCATTAATCGAACCATAAAAGTAAAATATTGGGTGTGAGAGAATGATAAAACTAAAAGAATTATGTTAATATTATTCATGAATAATATATAAATGACTTGTATCAATTTTCAAAATTTAAAAGTAAATCAAATCAAACCATACCACATCAAATAATTTGAATTGCAATTCGATTTAATTTTTAAAACATAAACATGAATAATCCTAATCATGTTTTGTACAAGCGAAATACTTCTATATAAATAAATAAAAAAAGACAAGCAGCAAGATGGATTAAAACAAATAAACAGATACGGCTAAACATAGATAAATTCGAAGGAAAATAACAAGCACACCAGCCATGGGAACGATCGAGTAGCATTCCGCACTTGTAACAGAAATTGGCTTGACACCTACATAAAAACACAATCAGATTAAACTATAAACACATCCATTACGTATTAATTATTTTATTTTAATTGATTTGTTATAAACAACGAGCGCAATAAATTAACCTGCACGTGATATAACGGCAACCTTCACTAAGTTGAACAAAAGAGCGGCACTTAGGACACCTCTGCCATTTTTCACGCTCAGCAAGCATACCAAAAGTGAAGTCGTTTTCATCCCTCAATGCCCCACTCTCCTCACATTGAAATCCAGCATGCCATGGAAGCTTGCACCGGAAGCAAAATAATCTCTTGCAATTTGGGCACTTTGACAACGTCGCAACGCCACCACATTCATCCAAAATCAAAGCAGAACAGTTCTGATAAGGGCAGTAACACCGCGTCAATCCTAAAACAGAGTACTCACACAACTTTTCAGACCATTTATCAAATAGATCCGAATCCATAAGATTCCGGCAACCGATTGGGTCCAAAAAATGGTTACAATTCGGAAACGGACACGGAATTTCGACTATATTGTCAACAAGCTTGACGGAAATGTAAGTTGTTATACAGTCGATGCAGAACGGATGAACGCAGAGATTTTGGTTCTCCAATTCATGCTCTTGAAATTTTTTTATTGCGTTTCCCATGATTATTGTTGACTAAGATATTAGTTAGCAAAATTCATCATATGTATAAAAGCAGTACATAATAGAAGTAGATTAGGACTCAAAGAAACCAAATTCTATTTTGAAATCTAATTAGACGTGAACATTAAATAAACTCAATTTGTAAATGGTTTTGAAGTAGAATTCAACTAGAAAACTTAATTACGTATTTTAAAAAGTTACTTATATTTGTCATTGTCATAACCTTCTGGGGGAAAATGTAAAAGAAACTACTGTACTTATTATTCTCTTTGTGTTTGAAAAGTTAATTTATTTTTTTCATATTTAGGAGAGCATATATATAATTATAGGTAGAGTATAGCAAAAATTTACCCAATCGTATTAATTTGTATTACATTACATTATTTCCATTTCCCATAACAATTCAACCACCCCCATAAAGCAAATCCTTCACATATATGATTGATATTTTATTTTCCTTATATTATTTACGGAAAAGGATTAAAATTGCTACTAAGTTATGCGAAATAGACCACTTATATCTTCTATTACATTTTGAATCAAAATACTCTCGCCGTTATCATAGGAGACCATAAATATCCTCAAGAGTTAAAACCCCAATTTTTAGTGATGTGTCATGTAACATGGGACTAATCCCTCCACTTAAGCGTTGCTAACTAAGATTTTAAAAGAACTTAATCTTTAGTGGCGACAAAGTTGCCACAAAATCTCAAAATTTGTCATTAAAGGTTATGACTGATTTTTAGTGACGACTAAGGCTCCAATAACCATTCGCTAGTAAAATCTATATTTTCACAAAAAAAATTGACAATTAATTTTATTGCGACCTAATTTTCTAAAATAAATAACTTGAAATATCAATATTATAAACACTCAATATTATTACGAGAGTCATGAAAATTACTTCTCAATTTACATCTCCTACTATATAAGGCATCATTGTACATTTTATACATTTAGATATAACATAAAAATAAAACATACAGTGTCTTTAAATCCTACTTAATCATTATCATTTTTGTTTTGTTTTTTTAAAAAAATGAAGAAAAAAACACAAAATTAAAATTTAATGTTAAAAAATTTCAGTGACGATTTTTTGGGTGTTAACTCTTGAGGGTGTATGTAGTCTTTTAGGATAACAATAGAGGCATTTTTTATCCCAAAATATGACGAAAGATATAAATGGTCTATTTCACATAATTCAGAGTCACTTTTGACCCTTTTCCATAAATAATACAAGGAAAATTTTCTTTTACTATTATTTTTTAAAAAATATTTTTATTCTTTTAATTTTAATATATTTTAATTAAAAAAATCAATTTATTTTAAAATAAAAAAATACTATAGACTTTTTTAAATTTAAAGTCATTTAGCATTACTCTCTAAAACTGATATTTGAAAATCAAAACTATTTTTATTTTTTGTTAATAAAAGTGAGAAAGACTAAATTTAATATTAAACATGCTTTCCAGACTTCAAATCTAACAAAAAGAAAACAACGGGCAAAGGCCAAATGCCCCTTAAACTCTAGGGGTCTTCTTTTCGTGTTCCATAAGTTTATTGTATATGACAAATTTAAATTAATCTGAATAATTAAATAATGAAAAGTAGTTTATTTTTATTTATTATATTTGGACTTTAACACATTTATTAAGATTTATATTTGTCTTATTTGGACTTTAACATGTTTATCAAGAAAATAATAATTAAGGTGATTATTTTACTATACTTTCTATTGATTAATATTCTCTCTATTTCATGCTAATTGAAATCTTTTAGAAGTGTATTGTTTAAAAGAATTGAATTTTTTAAAATTTAAGAATAATATTTATAATTTTTTTATTTTTGTTCTTTTCTTTTGTGAATTTTTATGTTTTCTAATAGATAAATCAAACTATTTGCAAAGTTATATATATGATTCAGAAAGGACAATATTGAAAAACATGATTCAAATTATGTCCTTATATTTTTCTTAATAAATATGAATTGTTTCACAAATTCAGTTGATATGGAGTAAAAATACTCTCTCTAGTATATAAATTGAATATTTGAGGCCTTTATTAAAATAAATGACAGAAATTTCACTTTTGAGTTCTCTTATTATCATTATACCCTATTTGTTTTATAAATTTTCAAAATCTTTCATTTTCACCTATTATATAAATATAATATTTGAGGCTTTTTCCCTTTATTAAAATAAATGACAGAAATTTCATTTTTGTATTATCTTATTACCATTATCCCCTACTTGTTTTATAAATTTCCAAAATTCTCATTTTCACGCATCGGATTAATTATCTCGCGCATCAAATTAGTGTATCATATATAAAATGTACATCAGATTAGTGTATCATGCATAAAATATAATGTACCTTACTTAACGATTAATGTATCTTGCGAATCAGTTTAACGTATCAGCGCTTATTATTGTATCAATTTGAGATATTTTTATAATTATAAACTTTTTAGGAAAAAATGATAATTTTACCTTAAAAATATTTGATGTCTTTTCTTTGCCCTTAAAATAATTGTATTCTTCAAAGTTCAAATGGATATTTAATTTTTTTTTTCATATTTGTACTTTCCTTTACATTACTCTCAAATATGTTCAGTATTTCACAAAGAATAAAGTGGAAAGTATTACTTAAATTATGTTTGAATTTTTTTTCTTAATAAGTGTATATTACATTACAAATTCAATTAATTTTCTTAATAAATGCGCATAGAGAATTATAATTATTGCTAAAAATAAATATAATAAAAATGTTTATAATATCTTAGTAACATTATTGATAACTATTTATGGAATAGTAAATAATACTTCCTCTGTTTAAAAATAAAATGAATCATTTTATTTTTAGTCTGTTTCAAAAATAATGATTTCTTATTTTTTTTGAAATACTTTTAACTTTTCATATGGTATGTTTAAAATCATAAAATTAAATAATATTTTGATAAAATTTTAATTAAGAAGTAAAAATTTAAAAGTTCCTTTCTGAGTAATAAATAGAAGTGAATAGAGGGATTAAGAATAACTTATAAATAAACAAAAGAAATTGTTAACCTTTTATGATATTCCGATTCCAATAAAGCTCAGCTGATTTTGAAAAAGATGGATAACTGCAAAAGTCATACGTGAAAGAAAATTTTGGGGAAAATAGTACTCCTACAAATTACAATCATATTATAAGAAGAAAACCTAAAACGATCATTCCTTTGATCATAGAAAAAGTAGTTTAAAAAAAAAAAACTCAAACACTTCACTACAATTATAAAATTGGCCCAAAATCAGTCAGAACAAAAATCTCCAGTTACCAAATCGCAAGTCAATAATACGGTTGAAGGTAATTAACTGAGAATCACAAGCACACAAGCCATGGGATTTATCGAATAGCATTCCGCAATCGTAACAAAAATTGGCTTGACACCTACATAAAAACACAATTAGATTAAATTATAAACACAAAAATAATTAAATATTAAAAGTCTATATACTAACCTGCAAGTGATATGACGGCAACCTTCACTAAGTTGAACAAAAGAGCGACACTTAGGACACCTCTGCCATTTTTCACCCTCAGCAAGTTTACTAAAAGCGACATCGTTTTTATCCCTCAATGCCCCACTCTGCTCACATTGAAATCCAGCATGCCATGGAAGCTTGCACTGGAAGCAAAATAATTTCTTGCAACTTGGGCACTTTGATCGCGTCGCAAAGCCACCGCATTCATCCAAAATTAAAGCAGAGCAGTTTCGATTAGGGCAATAACACCACGTCAACCCTAAAACAGAATACTCACACAACTTTTCAGACTATTTATCAAACAGATCGGAATCCAAAATATTCCGGCAACTAATTGGGTCCAAAAATTGGTTACAATTCGAAAATGGACAAGGAATTTCGACAACATTGTCAACAAGCTTGACGGAGATGTATGTTATTATACAGTCGATGCAAAACGGATGAACGCAAAGATTTTGATTCTTAAATTTTTTACTAGATAACAACATAGGCTCCATACAAATTTTACAGCAGAATGGTTGAGATTCATCTGCCAATTCGAGATCTAGAATTTTTTTTAATGTGTTTCCCATGATTATTATTGAAGAATAATTACTATACTTTAATGAACTAAGCGAAATTCATATTTATATAAGCAGTATGAAATAGAATTAGATTAGGACTCAAAGAAACCTATTTCAGCTTTGAAATTAAATAAACTATATTTGTAAACGGTTTAGAAGTAGAACTCAACTAGAAAACTTAAATTGCGTATTTTAAAAGTTGCTTAGGCTAATTTAAGGTTGGACAACGGAACGGGATGTATTGGTATAGTTTTGATTCGGTTGTCTACGGAATGGGGTGGGACATTTTGAATCGGGACATGAAATGGAACGAAATCGAGATTTGACCGGTATCGGTTTATACCGATTCCGATTAATTAATATTTATTAATTTATATTATATATTTATAAATTATAATTTATGTTTTATATTACAAAATAAATATTACTCAAGTAACCCAACTATCTATTAGTATTATTAATATTATATTCGAGACTTGGTTGAAGCAGAACCCTTCCTAGAAGGTGGTTGCGTAACTATGTATTCTATTAATAGTTGTAAATTGAAATTGTAATTTGTAATACAAATTTAAATAAATTAAATTGATATTTTTTTAATGGCAATTATTTTATCCTTATTTTTATTTAATTTTTTAAAATTACAAATTTAATTTATTTAGATTAGAAATTATAATTATAACCTATAAATTATAACATAATAATAAATAATAAGTAATAACTTCCAAACTTAATAAGTAAATTTTTTTTAAAAAATATTTTTAAAATAAACTTATTACGTTATAAATTTAAAAACTATTAATTTAAACTTAGAAAAAGAAATATTCATATTTTTGTAATTTAAAAAGATCATTGTTTGAAAAACTTGATGTGTCATTCTATTTATTCCATTCCGGTCCGTTCCGACTCCATCTCAATATATAGTGAGACAGGATGGAATCGAATATCTGTCTTAATAATTTCGATTAACGAACTTATCAACTCGTTCCACTCCAATTCAATATGATCACATTTTAATCCGTTGCCCAATCTTAGATAATTATATTTGTCATTTGTCATATCCTTCTGAAAAAAATGTAAATAATTAACTTCTCTGTTATGAAAAGTTAAAATTTTGTTTTTTTCCATATATAGGAGAGCACTATATATATTATTATTGTTAGAGTATAGCAAATATTCACTCAATCGTATTAATTTGAATTACATTATTTTCCGTAACAATTCAATCACCACATAAATCAAATCCTTCACATACTTTCTCTATTTCTATTTAGTTGTTCACTTTAGAAAATACACATATATTAAGATAACAATAATTAACATAGTGAAGTTACAATTTTATTTTTATTAAATATAGTTTCAAAGAGAATGTATTAAAACTTAGAAATTTTTAAAAAGTTTAAGTGAGGATATAATAGAAAAAAAAATGTCCGCATATAGTAAAATATTTTTGTCCAAAAAAAAGAAACATGCGGTTTTCTTTCATATCCAAGAGCCCTTTCTACATTTGCTTGCAATGCTATGCCTATCAAAGTTGGCGACCCTTTATTAGTTAAAATGGACAAATAAAATAAAAACATTTAAAAGAGAAAATATGGACAGAAAAAGTATATGATTAGTATTTTATTTTCTAAAAACAAGACAGTTCTATTTACACCAACTATTTTTTTAGGACTCTTACTAATTTTTTTTTTTAGGACTGTTATATGACATCCAAAAATCACTGACAGATTTCATTTTCTAAGAAACTCACTGTAGTTTTTTTATTTTCCAAAATAAAATACTAATATTTTTATTGTTTTTGTATAATAAATATGATAAATGACAATTTGTTTATTACAAAGCAGCCCAAAATGTTCAATCAACTTTTTAGACAAACTTCATGCTTTTAATTTGGTATCAATAAATTAGTGATAAATGTAACAAGTGTCCTATTTTAATCATAATTTAATATCAGCTTTAAGGGTGAAAATGTTATATTTCACTTTCATACGCTATATATACCTTCCTTTTTTAGTACGGTAATTGCCGTGTACTTTACTAATAATACTAAAAAAAAGAGTAGAGAGGAACGATCGCAGAAGTTTCCTAAATATATGAACCTATTTTTTCTTACTAATTCAATGAAGCAAAAAGATTTTGCACCTTACGAAATCTTCTTTTTTTTTCTCATATGAGTACGTGAAAAGAGGAATGGTCACAGAAGTTTCCTCCTCTCGTCCGCGGATATTTGGAAGGTATATTAAAAATAGATATTTAAAATTAATTATTAATTTAAATAATTAAAAAAAATAATATGAATTAATTATCAATTTAAATAATCAAGAAATACTAAGTATTTTTTTTTCAATTCTGTCCTTGATAATTTCTTTTATTTTGTTCAATTGAAAAGTTATATGAACTTTTGATATTCTTGCTATAGTAGGGTTATATTTGTCGAATTTCACTTTTTATTAAATTTTTCTTAAAGAGAGTACATGATCTTATCCTGACAAACAATAGTGGACTGATGAAATATCATTATATCTATAATTACTGAAAATAATATGAAATTGATATATGAAAATCAAATGTATTTTTATTTTTTTTATTTATTTAATGTGAGAATACTTTTTAGTGTTTATTTTATAAAAAAATTAATTGAAATATGTTTTGAGGAGTTTAACTCCCAAGAAAAAAAAGAAGAGAAAACCATGGTCAAAATCACAAATGCCCCTTTAAATTCTGGGGTCTTCTTTTTGTGTCCTGTAAGTTTATTGTATATGACAAATTTAATTAACCCAAGTAATAAAATCATGAAAAGTTGTACTTTTTAAGTTCATTTTTATTTGTCTTATTTGGACTTAACATGTTTGTTAAAAAAAAAGAAGAAGAAGATATTTTATCATTTTATTCACTTTTTATTGATTGATATTCCCTGTATTTTATACTAATTGAATTTTTAGAGTTTTTTTAATTGTACAAAATAATTAAATTGTTTAAAGTTTAAGATAAATGTTTAATTATTTTTTTTGTTCAGTAATAATTGTTCATCATTAATTTGACGTATTCCTTAAGAAATTATAAATAGAATATTGATTTAATATATTACTCTTTCAATATATATAATGTCTTGAAAAATGTAATCAAAAAAATGATTATAATTAATAATAAAGATAAATTATGAATTAACTGTAAAATTATTAATGGATTTCATAAAGTGGACCCATATTACTGGTCATCTATTTTTAGTATAAAAGACAAATAATATTGAATGGAAGGAATATTTTTTTTTCATATTTTCCCTTTCTTTTTATGAAGTTTAATATTTTCTAGAAAATAAATCACACTTTTAAAAGATTATATTTATAATTTTACTAGGAACAATATTGAATACTGCGATATAAAGTATGTCCTTTAATGTTTCTCTCGATAAGTTTGCATGTTCACAAATTCACTTAATATGAAATACTGAAAAGATACTCTCTATTCCATATTTTAATTGAATATTTTGAGTTTTTTTCATTGTTCAAAGATTAATGGTCGTTTGAATTTTTCTTTTCTTTAAAATTTGATATTATTTTAGGAAAAATTAGATTACTTGTAGAGTTATATTTATGATTTCACAAAAAATAATAGTAAAAAATATAATTTAAATTGCACCCTTAAATGTTTTTCCTAACAAGTACAAGTTGCCTCATAAATTCAGTCAATTTTCTTATTACGTGCGTCTTGACTCACAAATTTAGTTAATATAGGATAGAGAAACCATTATTTCTTTTAAAAAAATGATTTGAATAATAAATAATTAATACTAAAAATAAAATATAATATTTTTTTTAAGAAATATATTAGTAACAGTGAACTATTTTTGGAATATATAATAAATATAAATGAATAAAGGGAAAAACTTACAAATAAACAAAAAAATAGTTTAACCTGTTCTGATATTCCAATTCCAAGAAAGTTCAGCTGATTATTGAAAAAGAAGGATAAACTGCAAAAGTCATACGTGAAAGAAAATTTTGGGGAAAATATTACTCCTACAATTTACAATCTTAGTATAAGAAGAAGACCTAAAACGACCCTCCATTTTCCCACACAAAAAGTACTTGTAAAAAAAAAATTAAAAAAACTCAAAACACTTCACTCAGAATTTTGACACTGATCATGGGGAACACACAGAAAAAATTGGCCCAAAATCAGTCAGAACAAGAATCGCCAGTGGCAGAATCACCAGATGAATCATTCACTTGCGAAATTTGTATCGAGCCTATATCATTACCTAACAAAAAATTCAAGAATCAGAATCTTTGTGTTCATCCGTTTTGTATGGACTGTATGGCTAAATACATCGCCGTCAAGCTTGAGGACAACGTCGGCAACATTCCGTGTCCGTCTCTGAGTTGTGAGAATTTTTTGGACCCAATTTCTTGCCGGAATCTTGTTGGCCCTCAGCTGTTTGTGAGATGGTCCGACGTGTTGTGTGAATCTTCTGTTTTAGGGTTAGCGCATTGTTACTGTCCGGATCGGAGATGTTCGTCTTTGATTTTGGATGAGTGTGGTGGGAAAGCGAAGCGATCAAAGTGCCCCAATTGTAAGAAGCATTTTTGCTTTCAGTGTAAGCTTCCATGGCATTCTGGATTTCAGTGTGAAGAGAGTCGAGAATTGAGGGATAGAAACGATGTCGTTTTTGGCGTGGTTGCCGAGGCTAATAAGTGGAAAAGGTGTCCACAGTGTCGTCACTTTGTTGAACTTATTGAAGGTTGCAAAATTGTGAAATGCAGGTTAGTCATATTTGTTTTTTTCCTCTCTTCTTTTTTATTTGTGAATTGTGAACAAGTCATTCTAATTTTTGAAGAAAAAAAAAACTCACATTTTTACAACTTCTGAGGTTTACTTGAGTTGAGTTTCTACAGTGAGCAATTTTTCTAACTGCGTACACACCACACTGCCCAGACCCACTAGTCCGATTACACGGCTATGTTGTTGTTGTGGTGGTGGTGGTGATTATACCGGAGTCTGCACCTTTTTGTGCGTTTGTACATTGTTTTAGTGTTAATTGCAAAATTTTGCTAACCCTATAGTAGTTATTTTTTTCAATAAGAATTAGGAGAAACATGTACCAGAGCAAATAGGGTAGAGGTCATGGATTTAATAATATCTTACTACATTGATCCTGAAAAGAAATCAGGTCCCCACATATGGATGTAATCTTGAAGAACTAATTAAATAAATAAAGGTGCACTCTTTACCAAGGTAACTATGCAAATATTTAGTATTGAATTGGAATTGGTCCCCCCCTCCACAAGCTAGGGGTAAGGCTGTGGTCTCTCCACTCCCCGCTATACAGGAGTCTGATGTTGAATTGGAATTGATCCGAATAGAGAGTAAGTTTGGGATTGAATCACAAGTAATTGATTGATAAGGTTTTAACACTTGGGGAAGGAAACACAGGATTTAGAGGACTTGCATTTAGCTATGATAACCAAAAGAGGAAGAAAAAATGAATGTTAAATTGGTTCCTCCCTGCATACATGGGTTCCCTGGAATTTGAGCACCAAAAAGGTGTTGTTTGGCTGCAGAATACTTAGCTATCAATATGTTAATAGTCTTTTTAGAGACTTTTAATGTGTATCTAGTTGGTCAATTTTTTAAGACTTGTATCTCTTTGTTGTGGCATTCCAGTATCTACTTAATTGGATTTTTAAGAACAAGCACTTGCATATTTCTGCATTTTCACAAACAGGGATAAATTGCTAACCTGCTTCTGATTTATCGAGTTTCAAAATAAAGGGATGAAAAGGCCTATAAAACCTTAGGCCAATGAATGTTAGGCTACAGGTATGAAGGGAACAGGGAGTTGATGGAAGCATTATGTAGTTCTCTGAGCAGATTTATACATCTCTAATATGAGCTGAAGAATTATCTTATACATGATATGAAGTAATATGAGCGGAAAATATACCTAATATATCTCCAATGCCACTTAATTGAGATTAATATGCCAATCATTCCCAGTTTCCACTATTTTGAGGTTACAATTGCTATATTTTTCTCTGTTGACATTGATAGGTGTTGATCCTATCAGTCGTTATAGAGAGGACGGGTTGGGAATGAGGAAAATATAACATTTGAATCCCCTAAAGTAGATCATGTATCAACTATGTTTAATCTGCCAAATTTTGTCTTCTTTAACGTTCCAATTGATATTTATTTGTATTAGCCAGATCTTTTCCTCACATAGTTTTCAAGTATCCGGCTCTAATTGAATGTGTTGTTCCTCACAAATGAAATGCTTACCCTTTTATTCATTGTGGCTACTTTTTAGTGTTTACTTTTCTTCAAGGATTTCACTGGGTTTGTTATTGTTTCGGGAAAGAAACAAAAGAGAAATAACAGCTATGAATAATAAGAGGGGATTTTACTTGAGATAATCAAGCTTGTCCTCTGTATAGTCAATTTTGGATCTCATCTTCTTGTACATTAACTTATAAAATAAAAAAGTGCCTGTGAAGCCAAATTAATGTTCTGGGAGGAAAGAAGTTGCTTAGTTAGATGTACATATTAAAATATACCAGGTTTATGACATAAGATTTCAGCATATGTGAGAATTAAGTGGCTTATATTGATCGTCTCTTAATTGCTGACAGCTCTTCTCATAATTCTGCAATTTTCATCTATGCAATTCTTACATTCTTCTGGTTTTGTTCAGTTCTCTGAGGCTTAAACAATAAGAAGTAGAGAAAGGGTTCAACTTTCAAGTTTAATACTTTAACCTGGTTCTCTTTTCATCTGGATGTAGGTGTGGTGCCAGTTTCTGCTACAACTGCGGAAAAAGAGTTCATCGACACTGGTGTAGTTGTGATTCTGCTTCCGTGCGCTGCATAAGGATCATCCATGGGATTACCATTATTTTTATTCTCCTGTCTATCTTTTTCATCTTCAGGAATTTGAATAGTATAACGCCGAAAAAGTAGAGCCGTGTATAGACATATACTCCTATGAGGTTCAGTAACATATATTAGAAATCTTTTTTGCTTCAGTGTGTGCACTTGAGGCAGAAAAGATAGCATAGACAAGAAAACAGAAACCTTAACAAAGTTTGTACAGATGGAATCTAAAATATCAAGTTCTGTTAGATTTTTGACTTGCTGTTTCAAATTGTCTCAAACACATTTTTATGTGAATTTTCAAGCTTCTCTTCTGTTGTTCTTCATTAGTAGGTATGATTAGCATCCTTACTATCTCTTGGCTCCTGTATATTTAAAATGGATATCCACTTTTTTTCGTGTTCAATTTGGAAAATCAATAGATTTACTATTAAATCCTACTTTTCATTTCCCATTATTTAGATGATTGAGATCTTATTCTTTCATTTATAATTTCTTAAAGAATGTGTCCAGTTGAACATGAATAACTAAACAAGGAATTTGTCAAGTCAAACATGAATAGCTAAATGTTCTGAGGGATTATTTGTTTCTGAACAAGTACCTAGTTTCCACAAAAATTATATTGTTATTCTCCGTATTATCTTATGTTAAAATAACGATGTGAAATGACATTTATGTATTTGCCAAACAAGTAAATAACGATTATTGATTTATCGGTTTTTAATCATTATCCGTCATTGAAAACCACTTAGAAACAAGGTGACAAACCAAATAAATCATGCATATGAGTTCAAGTTACATCTTGCTCAAAAGCAACATTTTATATTTTGTAGAATAACCAAGTGTTTGAGACAATCAGAAATAAAAGTAGGACACCAAAATCTAAGTCAAAAACTTTAAATACAAAATGGTATAAATATAGGATTATTTAATTTTCTATCGGGTTATCGTTTTACACGTTAAGAAAAAATATCAAATCGTTAAAAATCAATAACCTCATAACAAAAGAAATCTAGATCGTAATGAAAACCACTAAACCAATAACCCGTTACTGATAAATCAATAACTTTTTTTTTAATTCAAATTATTAGTTTCGATTTGATTTTAAACGGCCCTAAAACATCCTATGATTATTACTCATTATACGGTAACCATTCTACCACAATTCTTGTTAGTTAGCTTTCTCGATGTTGAATAGTATGATATCAAGCCAATGAAATTTGAGACTAGGCATCAACACATTTAACTCCATCATATCAGCTATCTTTTTTTATTTGGCAACACCTAAGAAAGTTTTATTCAATTATTTACAAATTTTGCTCGAAAACAAGTAATATAGGATCGAAATGAAAAACCATTACAACCAGAAAAACGCAATCAAAAGAATAATAACACACAATCAAACATTATTTCCTCTAAAAAGATTCATTTGGCTAAAAATCATGGAATTACTCAAGTTCATGGGTGGGTAACTATTAAATAATAAAACAATAGTTTGAAGGCATAATACAGCTCTTAACTAATATTTATAATATCCTTTAATTTTAGATGTACATGAATAAATCCTTATAATTATATGAGATTGAACACGTATACATTACTTGTTTGATATAATTTATTACTTCTTCTATCTCAATTTATATAGGTTTTTTTTCCGAGAGTTACATAATTTAAATTTGACAAAAAATTTATGTATGAAATCTTCAATTTTTGTGAAATGAAATATATATATATATATATAAATTATATAAAAATAAAAATATTATAATATAAATTTGTTTGAATCTCGAAATCCAAAAAAGTGACATGACGAAAACAAAGAGAATAGTATGAAGCAATACGCTATGTTGTTGTTTCCTATGATTTTATTTATTATACATTCTATTGTTTTAGTTACCAAATGCGTACAAGTTACAGCAATTGAAATCCTCTTTAATTACCATTCGGTTTCAATAATTCAAGTTGAGTAAACTTCTTGTAGCTTATTGGCCAACTAAGAGATTATAAAATTTCTTGTTTTTTGTTTTGTTATTCAACTTGTTTAGTTTACAATACACACGTATTTAAGTTTAATTATTTTGAATTTATAAAGCTTTTTTCGAGAATAACTAATCTCTATTAATTTTAGCCTAAAATAATCACCACGATTGATGATTGAGGATTGAGTACAAAACAAAGATTCTACTAATTAATACTTTTTAATAATAATAATAATAAAAAAAATGAATATAAATTATTCATGGTTCTTTGGTAAATATTTTATGTTTTGCTTTTTGGAAGACCTTTGTTTGTTAAAAGGCAACAACTTTAACGATAAAATTAAGGATAATTTCTTTCTTTCGGTTATTTATTTCTTTATATATTTCAGAGAACGACTTCAAAACTGAAAAACTAACCAAACCCACGCCGAGAAGCAACTACCATTCCTTCAGCCAATCATTATCCGACACGTGGCATTCAGTAATTGGATATCTTTCACCTCAACTCTAAGCAACCTTCTCCTTTTAGGAGACTGATGGATATATATAGCAGATGAAACTGAGAGAAGACAGAAAACAAATCTTCTCAGTCAACAATGGCTCATCGTTTCTCTCTCGTTTTCGTATTATCTATCCTCCTAACGACGTCGTTCTTGTTGGCTGTCAACGGCGAGATTAAAGGCGGGGACGATGATATTTTAATCCGTCAAGTCGTCGGCGATGAGGACCATCACATGCTAAACGCCGAACATCACTTTACGCTTTTTAAGAAGAGATTCGGGAAAACGTACGCCTCCGATGAGGAGCATCATTATAGATTTTCGGTTTTTAAAGCTAACTTGCGCCGTGCAATGAGACACCAGAAGCTCGATCCATCTGCTGTTCACGGCGTGACTCAGTTTTCCGATATGACGCCGGATGAATTCAGCCAGAAATTTCTCGGCGTTAACCGCCGGCTTCGGTTTCCTTCTGACGCCAATAAAGCTCCGATTCTTCCTACTGAGGATCTTCCTTCAGATTTCGATTGGAGAGAGCACGGTGCTGTCACGCCAGTGAAGAATCAGGTATGTTTGTTTCTCTGTGAGATTGATACGTGCAGCATTAAGATAATTAAGTAATTGTTATTTTTTATGATTGAAAAACTAGGGTTCATGCGGCTCATGCTGGTCATTTAGTACCACTGGTGCATTAGAAGGTGCCAACTTTCTTGCTACAGGGAAGCTTGTTAGCCTCAGCGAGCAGCAACTTGTGGACTGTGATCACGAGGTTTGACGCTTTTCCCTCTCATCCTATTCTATATATTGTGTATATGGAATCCTGATCTTAAACACGTTAAGCTTTAAAATTAAAAGCATTTGCCAATTTAAAAGTAGTGCTCATTCGATTGGAATTTACTATTGGCGTCATCAATATTTTTGGGTCATGTAACTGATCATGGATCAGTTACAGGGAAGTGTTTGCTCTGTTTCCGTCACTTTTAAGTACGGAAAAAACTTAGTTATGATATTTATAAAAGGCGGAAGGTAGCTTGGTGTTTATATGTAAAAAATGTTAGGGAAACTAAGAGGATTCATATAATTTACCTATGTAGTTCCCATATAGTTAAGAATTGACTTTTGCCTTTCTTGGTGTTATACCATATCAATCTGTTACTTAAACGTGTCTTTCTTCTTCAAGTACCGTGTTTTTCTGCGGTTTTCTTTAATCAGATTTTCCTCTCTTCACTTTAAGGGAAAGGGAATTGGACTGTTTGTATGTTTTGGCTTGAATTTGTTGCTGTTTTCATTTTCAGTATGCCAATTGCTAATCAGAATTGGGATTGTAGACAGTATAATAAGACTTCTAACTTGCACTACTTACTACACAGGCCAAACGAAAAAATTGTACTTCGAAATTTTAATGTCCTCTTATCTCCCTGAAGTATGTATCCTATACTAATTTAACTACCTACAGTGTGATCCAGAAGAAAAAGATTCTTGCGACTCAGGCTGCAGTGGTGGGCTAATGAATAGTGCCTTTGAATACACTCTCAAAGCTGGTGGACTAATGCGAGAAGAAGATTACCCATACACTGGTACCGATAAGGCAACCTGCAAATTTGACAACACCAAGGTTGCAGCTAAAGTTGCTAACTTTAGTGTTGTCTCCCTAGACGAAGAACAAATTGCTGCTAATCTTGTCAAGAATGGCCCTCTCGCTGGTAAATGTCCTCTGCCATTAACTTAAAAAACTGCCTTCATGGGATCTTTAGTTAATTAATGCTTTCCATTGATGTAAAACTAATTCTGAAAAGTGTTGCTGTTGCTTGGCTTGGCTTGCAGTGGCTATCAATGCAGTGTTCATGCAGACATATGTCGGTGGAGTCTCCTGCCCATATATATGCTCTAAGCAGTTGGATCATGGTGTCTTATTAGTTGGTTATGGTACTGGCTTCTCTCCCATTCGAATGAAAGAGAAACCGTACTGGATCATCAAGAACTCATGGGGAGAGAAATGGGGAGAAAGTGGATACTACAAAATCTGCAGAGGCCGCAATGTTTGTGGAGTGGATTCAATGGTTTCAACAGTTGCAGCTGTTAGTACCAGCTCATGGTAAAATTTTAAGTCTATTTTTACCAACTACACTCTATGTAAATTAAGTGTAGCTTAAAGGACCATATTTCATTATTTCCAATTGCTAAGACTCTTTTTCATTATATTATTTCCAATTCAACAATTCTTGAAAGTAAAACACATTTCTCCGCTTCTATCTATTAGTTTGGTGTTTCTTCACTCTACATACATTCCTTTATAATTTATTTCATCTCCATATATGGTTGATTGCCCCTCCCCGTATCCAAGCGCACACAAAATCTTTTCAGGAGACTTCAATTATAGTTGACGTCAATGTAAAGGGAGGGAGGTAACTTCCAAGTTGAGCTGTTAATCTTGCAAATTGAAGGTTTTCCTTCTTTGTTTACTTGGACAACTTCTTTGTTTAACACCTAATTATCTAAACTACATTTTGAAGTTATATGCAACATATCATTAATCCAGAAGCAACTTTCTCCAATCAAGCCCTTCAGACAAGAAGTAGAATGTCTCACCAGTCACCAGTAACGACTATTTTCAGCACGAATGTGACTAAGTGGGCAAAATGCATACCTAAAAAAACAATTTCTTTTGGTGAAAAACAAGCTGAAATTGCATATGGAACTGAGGATAAAGAATGCACCACGAATGTTGTGTTCACATGATCTCATTATTACCAATAGAAACGCTAATAAACATACGTGGTATGATTAATTTACAGGCAAACTGACCCGCCATATCTGTCGCACAAAACATCGACCATT